ATATATATATATATTAAAGCTACTTATTGTTCACGCTTTAGCGTTGGAATATTCAAATAAAAATAAAATTTTTTCCAAACAATAACTACATGTCACTTTTTTTAACTTAAAAAAGATCACGATCTTTGGCACGTTGCATGAACACCCAACGACATGTCGTATTACGTGTTATTTTAGCTCAAACGCGTACTTCAAAAATTCAAAATATAAGCGATGTATTTGCGCGTAAACGACGGCAGACTCTTCAAATGAGACTGACATATCGTTATCGTCAGTCGCATAAACCACAGAAAGGCATGACATAGTACTAACGACACAACAAAAGTAGGAGTAGGACACAACATCACCATATCTTTCATGGAGCAGATGACAAAAAAGTTTATATAGAAAGGGAGACCCCTAAACACTTTATTTTAATTGTTAAATTAAATTTTTAATGATTAAATCTATATAGATATGTATTAAAAACTTACAGTGTGTTGTAAAACTGCTCTCTCAACAAATTTAATTGTTGAAAAAGTAATCTAACAGCAAAAAAAAAAAGACGTTTTGGTTGTTATAGAAGATGCACAAGTTATTTTACTATTTGTTGGACACGATATTAGATCACTTCTCATAAAATGACGGCCCAATCACAGAATGAAAACAACGGCCGTGTTTGAAGTTGATTTTGTTTTTATTTTTGTTTTTCACATCTTTTAAGAAAAAAATGAAAACAGGAGAGAAACGGCATGCCTGTTTGGAATCATTTCTAAAAACGTTTTTCAAGAATTAAAAAATGAAAACGCACTCAGAAATGCGTTTGGCCCGCATTTCTTGAAAAACAAAAACTGAAAACATTTTTTACTTAAATTAAGCACCGTTTTCAGTTTTCTATTTTCATTTTCTTTACCCGACTGGACCACTCTTCTCCCTCGACCCCCCCTCTTCTCTGATCTCCCTCGACCCCTCCCATTTTCATTTTCCCCATCCTCTCCCGCCTCGACCTCGCTACCCGTAACCACCCCCCTCCTCATTCGACTTCGCCGCCGCCCCTTCCTCCACCTCACTAGAGTTGGGACCCTGGACGACGACTTCTTCTCTGGCGACGACGACGACGATCGCAACCTCTTCAGCTCCGGATCAAAAAATTCTAGATTCCTCCAAAACACACTAAAATTATCCTCCAAAACCCATTTCTTCATGTATATAATGTTTATTTAATATTATTATTTATTTAATATATTATTATTTTAAATATTATTACATGTTTTTAAAAATTAAACCACCAAACACAATTTCAGTTTTTTTAAAATTGAAAACAATCTCGGAATAAAACTACTAAACGCATTTTCAGAAATGATTCTAAAATGAAAACATTTTCGTTTTCATTTTCATATAGAAAATAAAATCATTTTGGAACGAATTCTAAACGCACCCGGTGTTTCGCATAATTAAAGACAAAAAACAGAAATGAAAACGATTTTTTTGGTTTAGTGTAAAATGGGAGAGAAATGAAAAACAACTAAAAGTCATTTTTTATTTTTTGTTTTCATTTTCTTCTCTCTCGAGCACAGAGAAAAAGACATTAATAGATTTTTTTATACTAAAAATAATCTTTTAATAAAACTACCAAACTCATTTTTAAAATTAATTTTTGTCTGAGATTAAAAATATTTTTATTTTTATACAAAAAATAAAATTATTTTAGAATAAATTCTAAACACACCCGTTAGGTTTCGTCCATCCATGTAAAAAACCAGCAGAATAGGAACCACCCGGCGTTTGTTTGCGGAAATAAACGACAACAAACGTTTAATACAAATTATACAATTAACGACGACAAACGTCTAATACAAAATTATAAAATAAACAAAAAGACAACAAACGTTAAAAGTCAATTAGCGACAAGATTTTCAAGCATAACGATAGCAAACTTCAAACCAACGACAATGACATCAATAAACGATGATAATAAATACATGAGGCAAGCGACCAAAAACAAAATAGGCAGGAGTCGAAAAAACGACTACATAGCTAAACCTGGGGGAAAAAAAAAAAAAAGGTTGAAAGACCACAAAAGAGGAAAAACGAAAACTAAAGAGAAGCGAGACTAGCGACATTTAATAAAGAGGCAACCAACAAGGATATTAAAGGAAAACGACAACTAAAGAGAAGTGAGACCGTCCAGAATTAAGGAGGAAAACCAACGACCGAGAAATAAAGGACAACAAATTCAAAAATGACAATAAAGGTAAACACGACTACAGAGGAAAGCTAAAAATAAAAGAAGAAGAAATGACAACAAAATGGCAAGGGACTACAACACAACTTACAGGAACGACATGTATTTATGGAATTGGACTTCCTCTGACATCTTTTAATTAATCGGGAGAAGCAACAAGTCGTTTTTCTACACTAATGGTAGCAAACTTTAAGTCCAAAACGACAGGTCGTTCCACTGGGCACAGCATGTTTTTTCCAGTGCCCAAGAGTTGTTTTGTGTGGTGCCTCTATCATCCACATTTGAAGTCATCTTTCTTGTTGAGTTCCACAATTGAGTTGTGCAGGCTTCTTTGGCTAGATTTGGTTTCAATTTTAGCAACTCCTAATTTCATTGTTTTCTTTTTATTAAGAAAAAAAAAATCACGTTGATCCGAACAGTAGTTATAAAGAGGTCCCCATATTATAATGTTTCATTTATTTCTATTTCTTTATCTGTTTATCAATTTTTTGCTAATAATATTAAAATTAACCCATCAGGAGAAAACAATAATAATAAAAAGAAAATAAGTATTTTTTTCTGTATTTTTTACGACTTAATGAGTTGTTTTATCGGTTATATGAGTATGTTTTAATGCAAATTTTAATATCTCTAATCAATTTGAAAGCACTATAAAAATTCATTGAGTTAAGGTCTAATTTGTCAAAGTTAAAGTTCTAAGTTATTAAAATTTATAAAGTACGAATTCTCCTATGATTTATGTCAACATATCCCCCTTAACTATAATATGACTTCGTATTCATCTCTTGAATTTTGAAGCGTGATACTTTTTGGATGAAATCGTTGTGTCTCTCTTCATTTAAGATTATAAATAATACTTGGGGGTTAATGAGTGACCTTCCATCTAAATACGTTGAGAGCTAAACCTCATATATATATATATATACATATACATATATATATATATATACATATACATACATATATATATATATATATATATATTCTCCTCTTGAGTAGTTGCTTAGAAGTAAGAAAAGAGGTGGAAGTGGAGAACAAATATTGGGCTTAATTACGAGTTTAAAGGAATTGACAAATTTGATCTATTTAGTTACATGCATGTGCTATTCTGTTAAAAAATAAATAAATTCAAAGTTTAGGGATGAGAATGAGGATATGTTAAAGTTTAAAATGAAGATATATAGGGCGCGTTTGGAACTCGTTTCAAAATAATTTTGTTTTTCGTATGAAAAATGAAAATGAAAATGTTTTCAATCTCAGACAAAAATTATTTTTAAAAATGCATTTGGTAATTTTATCAAAAGATTATTTTCAGTATAAAAAATCTCATTAATGTCTCTGTCTCTTTCTCTCTGCTCGAGAGAGGAGAAAACGAAAATAAAAAATGAAAAACGACTAAAAATCATTTTTCATTTCTTTCTCATTTTACACTAAATCAAAAAAATCGTTTTTATTTCCATTTTTTGTCTTTATTGCGCCAAACGCCGTTTTGAAAACGTTTTCATTATTTTTTTCTTGAAAAACGTGAAAAATAAAAACGGGATTAATTCCAAACACGGCCATAAAGATGTATCAAAGCGCACGACAAATATATTTTGACCCGTTTAGTTCATGCGTTTAAATTAATAATTTTGTTTCTAAATTCAAATTTAGTAAGAAAATTCATTGAGATAACTTTTTTATAAAATTTGTTGTGATAAAATTACTGTAATAGAATCCGAATTATAATTTACAGAATCAAATATATTTTAAAGTTTAGAGGTAGGTCGACGTAAATGATTTTAGTACATAGAAAATTTGTAAAATTTGTTCAAATTGAGAGAACAGAGGTGCAGAACCCATTCCCCACCACCCATTACAAAAAAGGAAAAGAAAAGAAAAAAAAAATTATGAACTAATCAACGGTGTGGGATCACTTTATGGATATGTGAAGTCAACCACAGGATTAGAACCTTGGAGGCGCTGGGTTGGAATAGAATACGAAGAGCTCATCCACACCGCCTCTACGCTCTCCACTCTCCACCATCGCTGTTGCCTTGATCAATCAATCATCAGCTCTATGTTTCCTTTTTCTTCTTTCAATTGAATTCAACTTCTTTGAAACACAAATCCCTCCTCAACTCCCTGGTAAAATTCATTCCCAAATTCAAACCCAATTCTTGGATTTTTTTCCCCCTTCTCTGCAAACCCTTAGAAAATAGAAACCAAAACCTCCCTCTCTCCGCTCGGTTGTGACTGTCTTCGACGCGGATTCATTCACCAGAGGCAGCCATTTTCAATGTCTGTGACTCTGTGGGTCAGTATTTTCATTTTCACCCTTTTCGCAGTGCTCGAATTTGCTTTGAATTACACACTTTTTTAGCTTATTTTCCGTAGAAGGATTGATCAGCGATGTAATTTGATTATCATGTGTTTCGCGTACGCAGACATACGAGTGATTGACTTCACTTAGTGTTTTCCCAATTGGGAAAATTGAACTGAAAAGTATTTAGGGATTTTGACATGGAAAACCAAGTGATTGAGTTTGATATTGGGGTGGGAGGAGGAGGAGGAGATGATGATGGTGTGGACATTGAGCACCACGTTGATGATGAAGAAATGGTTGATAGCCCTCCTATTGCCTTTGGCGGCGGTTTTGGCGGGAGTGGTGAGATTTACCTTCCGGAGGGAGACCTTTTGGACCTTGAACCTTCCGAGGGCATGGAATTCGAATCTGAAGAGGCTGCCAAGGCCTTTTACAATTCGTATGCCCGGCGCGTCGGGTTCAGTACCCGTGTCAGCTCTTCTCGTAGGTCTAGGCGCAACGGGGCAATCATACAGAGGCAATTTGTTTGTGCGAAAGAGGGGTTTCGCAATTTGAATGAGAAGCGCACGAAGGATAGAGAGATCAAGAGGCCGAGAACAATCACCAGAGTCGGATGCAAAGCTTCATTGTCGGTGAAGATGCAGGATTCTGGGAAATGGGTGGTGTCTGGGTTTGTTAAGGAGCATAATCACGAGTTGGTTCCTCCGGATCAAGTGCATTGTCTTCGTTCTCATCGGCAAATCTCCGGCCCTGCTAAGACGTTGATTGATACTTTGCAGGCAGCTGGGATGGGTCCCCGTAGAATTATGTCAGCGCTTATAAAAGAGTATGGTGGAATAAGCAAAGTTGGGTTTACAGAGGTGGATTGTAGGAATTACATGAGGAATAATCGCCAGAGGAGCATGGAAGGGGATATTCAGCTCCTCCTGGATTATTTGAGGCAGATGCAAGCTGATAACCCTAATTTCTTTTATGCCGTACAGGGTGATGAGGATCAGTCCTCGGGCAATGTATTTTGGGCTGATTCAAAGGGACGGATGAACTATAATTACTTTGGTGATACAGTTACTTTTGATACAACCTACAGATCAAACAGATATCGTTTGCCCTTTGTACCCTTCACTGGGGTAAACCATCATGGGCAGCCTGTGTTGTTTGGTTGTGCTTTCCTAATAAATGAATCTGAATCATCGTTCATTTGGTTGTTTAAGACATGGCTTATGGCAATGTCCGGTCGCCCTCCGGTGTCAATAACCACAGATCATGATGCAGTGATTCGATCGGCCATAGTGCAAGTTTTTCCAGAGACTCGCCATCGTTTCTGCAAATGGCACATCTTCAAGAAATGTCAAGAGAAGCTATCCCATGTGTTTTTTAAACACCCAACTTTTGAAGCAGACTTTCATAAATGTGTCAACTTGACCGAGTCAATAGAGGAATTTGAGTCTTGCTGGTCGTCTCTCGTTGATAGATATGATCTCAGGGATCATGAATGGCTTCAACAAATATATTCTGCCCGAAGGCATTGGGTCCCAGTGTATTTGCGGGACACTTTTTTTGCAGAAATGTCGATAACGCAGCGAAGTGACAGTATGAACTCATATTTTGATGGATATGTGAATGCTTCAACCAATCTGAGTCAGTTTTTCAAACTTTATGAGAAAGCTCTGGAGAGTCGGAATGAGAAGGAGGTGAAAGCAGATTATGATACGATGAACACTTCAGCAGCCCTTAAGACCCCATCTCCAATGGAGAAGCAAGCGTCAGAGCTTTACACTAGAAAGTTGTTTATGAGATTTCAAGAAGAGCTAGTTGGGACGCTAACTTTCATGGCGTCAAAGGCCGAGGATGATGGCGATGTCATCACCTATCAAGTATCGAAGTACGGGGAGGATCATAGAGCTTATTATGTTAAGTTTAATGTTTTGGAGATGAAGGCAACTTGTAGCTGCCAGATGTTTGAGTTTTCAGGTCTTCTTTGCAGACATGTTTTAGCAGTCTTTAGAGTCACCAATGTGCTAACTCTCCCTTCACATTACATATTGAAACGGTGGACAAGGAATGCCAAGAGTAGTGTCATTTTAGAAGAACATTCTAGCAATTTGTATAATAATTACCTGGAGTCTCATACTGTTCGGTATAATACCCTGCGCCACAAGGCCTTTAAACATGTGGATGAAGGAGCAAAGTCTCAAGAAACTTTTGAGGCTGCGCTATGTACTCTTCAAGAGGCTGCAGAAAGGGTTGCCGATGCAATAAAGAATAATGGGAAAACTGCCATGGTGAATGGGCGTGCCAGGGGAAATCGAAACTCCACTGTTAACGCATCTCGGGCTAGCCATTCTGGTAGGGATCATCAAAGGGACTCTGGTCAACATATGTCTGAGGTAAGAGTCATTTTCACCGTGTTTTCTGTTAATTTATTTTTTCTTTTCGTAGACCTGAGAGTTTCATGTGGTCTGGATTTTCCATCTATACTTTTAAATCTTAATTCTTCAACGAGGGTTCTGTTTCTTACCCCTTATGTTGTGTTTGCAATTGCTCCAAATAATTATCACATTTGTTTATTTGAATTATTATGCAGGATGATATGGACAAAAGGATTCGAGAACTTACGAGTGAATTGGAGACTGCAAATCGGAAGTGTGAGATTTATCGGGCTAACTTGCTTTCCGTTTTGAAAGATATCGAGGATCATAAGCTACAGTTGTCGATTAAAGTGCAAAATGTCAAGATTAGCATGAAAGATGGTCTTTGAAGGTGCAAAAATGGTTGTAGTTAACACTTGTAATTCCATCTTGTTTCATTTTATTCTCTCAGTTCAATGTACGTTTACACTAGTCTTTGGATAAAAGTGTTTTTTTTACTTGTGAGTGGTGTAGAGGTTACAATTCTGTAGAGATACATCTTTTTGCAGTGTTTTTAGTGTCGTTAGATATATATATTATAAATTAGATTATCATGATCCAAAATTCAAACTATGAGATGTTGGCCTTTTCTCTAATATATTAGAAGGCCCCTTTTTGGTTACCATCTTATGAAAACAATTGGAAAGTAAATTCCCAATGCTGTAGAATCGTTTCGAGGTTCGCACTTTATAGGTTATGCCTTGGATTTTTATCCCAGATTTTGCACATTGGAGGCTTCCAGACGATCAAATTCTTTCTGGGTGGATTCGGACATCTCACATGTAAATCCTTCCCCTATGGCTTCAGCATATTTGCTTATCATCATCATCATCATCATCATCATTATCTATCATCATTCGTGATCTCTTGGTTCGTGAACGTGACATTGCAGGAAGAAAACATAGTTCTATGGATGCTTGCAAATGAAGGCGGGTGTAAGAAATGGGAATCCAACGGGATTTGGACTTGTTTAGTTTGTTTTTACTAGCTGTTCAGCTGCTTATTCTTTTAATTTTGACGTGGCAGTGGAAGGTTTTTATGCTGTAAAATCAAATAGCAATTTCCAGCTATTTCTCTAGGAAATCAAGCCTTTCAGCTACTAAGGCCTCGTTCATTTCGCTGATTCGAGTTGAGATGTGATTTTATGTGAGAACTTTTTACTGTAGCAGGTTAGATGTGACTGTTTGTGAGAGCTTTTTACTGTAGCAAAACTCGAATTCTAAACTCAAATCAGCGAAACGAACGAGGCTTAAGACTGTTTGGATGTTTAGGTTTTGTTTCCCATGTCAGCTTCAATCCTTACCCATGTACAATTATATGACCGTTTTCCTCTACTTGTAGTTGTTTTTTTTTTTTTTTTTTTTTTTTTTTTTTTTTTTTTTTTTTTTTTTTTTTTCTGATCGTTGCATTCTTCCTCTTGTAGGTTACGGTTGAATTTTGAAATTTGCGTGAGCGACAACAAACTTGTGGACGACAAAATACGGGTCCTCTCTGGATATCCGCCACGAGGCACAAATAGTCGTAGACTTATGAACCATGAGCGACACGTCGTTTTTTCCATAACAATTTTAATCCTTTTACCGTCACCAATAAACGACATTGCGTTTCTTCTCCTAAAACGAAAAGAAGTTTAGCAACTACGAATGGCTTGTCGTTTCTCACCAAAACAGCTGCGACCTAAATGGTCTTTTGGATATCGTACGACGGTGAGAAAATGAAATCAGACTTTATCACGTAGGTTAAAACGTTAACCAATGTCGTTAATCACTTTAAACGACATCAAACTTAAAAATAACAAACGACATGCCATTCCAGTCATAAATGAGCAATTAAGTGGTGAACATGTTTTTTTACTTGAACACCTATTAAGGGCCAGTTTGACATTGCTGTGCTGTTTTAAATTTCTGTTGTTAGTCAGAAATTACTGTGACCAGAAACATGTAAATGTTTGGTTTTTTTTTTTAAATTATTGTAAATACCAGAAGCAGAAATTTAAGTGGTTGGTAAACTATGTACAAAATTGCTATGAATATGTATAATGACTAAAATTGATATAATTTAACACGCATACTTATAATTAGTTTTATTTCTATTTTTATAGTCAATATTCATAATATTTATACACCAAAATACTAAAAAACATATAATTTTCATTTTATTAATTAAAATATCTCTAAAAATAAATTGTTTTATTCAACGAGATAAATTATATATTTATAAAGAAATCAAATAACGTAAAGAACTAAAAGTAAATTATTTTTCAAACTTGTAACATTATAATAAAAGTATATTATTAAATTTTGGCATAAGATATTTATTAAAGATTTTTAAATTTCAAATAAACATTTAAAATAAAATATATCCTTTAATTTGATCTAGAAGAAATAAAAAGAGTTAATTGAGAATTAAGTTTTATTATTTTGATCATTTTAGTAAACTTAGACAATGACAGTAGAAGCTTATGTGGAAAAAAAACTCTTGATGTGCTTCTTAAATTCTACTGTGAATCATCAATTTTTAGAAGTTGTTGAACAAAAACAGATTTTACAAAACACACTTCTTAAAAAAAAAACTAAAAATAGCTTCCAAAAGCAATGCCAAATGGCCCTAAGCAAGAGAAGTTTTATATTCTAACATTGCTGCTTCTTATTCTTCTTATATAAATAAGTTTAGTATTTTTAGCACAAAAAAAAAATCATTATTTTTAGACCAGCAAGAGATTTTTTTTTTTTTGTTTTTTGGAAAAGTTAATAATTCATTTGGGCTTTTTATTCTGGCCCAAAAGTGGTGTCGAATCCAGTTCATAGTCTTAGATCTGACCCAACATCATAAACTCGTTTCAGTTCTTCACCCACAAAGGTGTAAGAGAGACAACTCATTTCCATCATTTTCTAGCGGAAAAAAAAAAAAAAAAAAAAAACACTCGTTTTACCATTCAGAAAGAAAATCAAGACTCAAAATCCCAGGGGAGTCTCTATCGTTTGCCAAAGGCTCTGTTTCTGAGATCCCAGAATACGCAAAGAAATGGTAATGGAAGCCTCAAATTTTCTTGTTCTCTTTCCGTTTGGTCTGCTTTCGGCTACTATATGTGTTGTTACAATTGTTTCATATTCTTTAGATTCGTATCTGTTAAATTGCGCTGCTTTTGCTGAATTTTATTCTTCGATTTTTCTCTTTTTTGTCTATATATTCTACGATTTCTTCAAATGGGTTGGCGTAAAAGAGTTTTTGCAGATCTGGGTTGCCCAATTTCCCGCGGTCTGTGATCAAATCAAAACCAAGAGAGAATTTTTAATTTTGCAAAGAACACCTTTCCTATTTAATTTCAGCCCTTGTGTTCTTTTAGAACCTGGATTTGGATTCGCGCTATGGGGTTGGAGTCTGTGGTGGGTGATCAATACTGTGATCTGATCATTGAATTTTGCAATTTGCTGGTCATCAATCAAAGTTGACATTAGCAAATGCATCCTCTAATGTAGGGAATTTATAGAAATAATGGCCATTTGTTTAGCTGAGAGAGAGGGTTTTAGTAGATATTATTGGCAGCTGTTTTGTCAGCAAGAAGTATGATAAAGCTATGATACTTCTTAAAGTTATGCCATTATTTGATATGATTTAGAACTTCATATGAATCCATGATTTAGACGTGTTAGCTATGGCTTTCTTGTAACGCATGCTGAATGGTAGTTCAACATTCATGATATATGATACCTTAAACATGCAAATTTTCTCTTTAATATATATAAATATATATATATATATATATATAAACATATTATATGCAGGTATGTATATATATGTACGTACGTATGTATTTTTTTTTCCATGATATTTGGAAGCTGTTTATCTCCTATGTCCAATGATTCATATCTCTAACAGATAATTAAACATGGCCTTAAGGTTTTCACTTTGGCTGCTGTCTAATGGCTTATGTTTTTTGCAGATTCACTTCGTGCTTCTTATTAGCAGACAAGGAAAAGTGAGGTTGACGAAATGGTATTCACCTTATTCACAGAAGGAAAGAACCAAGGTATTTCTTATACTCTTTTTCCTCTTTTTTCAATTTTTTTACGGATACGAAGGGTGTTATTTTTCTTTTATGCTTCTGTCTGAAATTATTCATCAGTTTCCACACTGTTGACGTTTATCGTATATGCACTTGGAGTAGGTGATACGTGAACTTAGTGGAGTGATTCTCACACGAGGACCCAAGCTTTGCAATTTTGTGGAGTGGAGAGGATACAAAGTTGTTTATAAGAGGTAATACACGAATATGAGTATAGTCTTTATAAGGAAAGTTTCTTTTGTGACATTATGTCATGACTCAACCGACTTGTGAATGTCGTATGCAGATATGCTAGTCTGTATTTCTGCATGTGCACTGATCAAGATGATAATGAATTAGAGGTCCTTGAAATAATTCATCATTATGTTGAGATCTTGGACCGATATTTTGGCAGTGTGAGTGAATTAAACTTTGTTCACATGTTGAGTATCGATATAACACTCTATTCTCTAAGTTAAGGGTTTTGTAACATTTAACTGTATTTGTGTCATGTTTCCAGGTCTGTGAACTAGACTTGATCTTCAATTTTCATAAGGTATGCTCTGCTTCTTTAAGACACCTTTCTTTTCAATGAGTTTAGGGGACAAAAATTGAAGCCTAGGAAATTATGTTTTCTGATACTTGCACGTTAAAACACTTGGAAATCTCAAGTGTTCATATTTGGCAGATGTGGAAAGGTGACATCCTGGATTTTAGTGTAGAATTCTTTTCTACCATCGTAAATGATAACTTCTTGGGTTATTAACATCTGATATATTTCGAGAAGAAAAAAGCTAATGTTGAAAGTATCTGACTTTAATTGTTTATGTTTTTCTCTTCAAGTATCATATTCTAAGGAAATCCTGATTCATTCTAGGAAAAACCGAATCAGGAAGAATAAACTATAAAGTATACTAGCAAAGCCTTTCCAAGCCAAAAGATTTCTGTTTTAATGATATGTTTTATTGAAGTATCTACAGCCTCATGGTTTGCACTTTGAAATTTGCAATATCATGTTGCCGTATCTTACATGGTTGTTGCAATAAAAACTTGCATAGACTAACCTCAGTCATTCACTGGCTTCCTTTTATTGAATTTTTTTCATTATATGGATTTGAAAGTAAGCATTTTCACTTAATTGCTGGTACTGGATAACAATGCAAGGCCTATTATATTTTGGACGAGCTTCTGATTGCCGGTGAACTTCAAGAGTCCAGCAAGAAAACTGTTGCACGGTTGATAGCTGCACAGGTATAGTTTCTTTTTGTGTCATTCCTGTCGGTCGCCAAAATTTCCTTATTATGCTAACTCTGATGTGTTACCGGGTCTTTTTTAGGATGCTTTGGTGGAGACTGCGAAAGAGCAAGCGAGTTCGATAAGCAATATAATCGCTCAGGCCACCAAGTAGGGAAAACCAAAAGCGTAGCAACACCAGTTGCACTGTTTGAGGAGCTATAACTGTACTTTCTTAAAAAAAAAAAAAGCTTTTTGGTTTGTTTGTTTTTACTAGTAAACGACTGAAATACACATTGTGGTTTTATTTCTCATTAAATTTTGTGTGCTGCATAGATTTCCTTTCTTTTTTGCTTCAGCTCTCCGGTTCTTGTATGCCTGGACTTCTGCTTTCGTTATATTTTGTAAATCAGAAAGCTTTATCATACCATTTCCATATATTGGTCTCCCCCTTTTTTCTTTTTTCTTTTTTTTCAATTAGTCTGATTATTAGTATGGAACATTTTTTTTTCCAAGTGAAATCCCCTAGTATATGAGTCGTGCGACCCCGCGGCTTATGTGCGACCATTATTTTACACCACAACTTGCAGAATTATGGTTTGAAACTTGAAACTACCTCTCTTCACAAGATTAACCTCTTGTAAAAGGAAAAATAACCCCATCTTTCTAGGTTTTTAAAGTACAAATATGCTTATATCTTTTACTCGAAAATAATATAAAATAAAATAAAAAATTCTGGTATCGTCATCCAAGACAATGCATGAAAATTTAGTAAATCATAATTTTGTCATGTACTACAATATATAATATATAAATTCGCATGAGCTGATTTATTTATTTATTTTTTGTATTTTAGAAAATTAGAAGCCTGCCATTGCTGAAAAAAAAAAAAAAACAAGAAGCCCACTTTTTCGAAGAGACAAAAAGATAAGTGTGTGTAATTTATGGAAGATAAGAATCCTTTACAGGAGAACATATTCTTCAAAACAGCAAAGATTTTTTTTCCCCTTCAAACGAGAAATGAAAATTCAAAAAGGTATACTAATATCAGCAACTAGGATATTTATTCACGATAAAGTTAAATAATACAATCTGGTTAATTCTTACGCAATCTCTCTTCTTTACATGACCTAGGCCAACAAAAGTAGACTAAACTCAGTAATCCTGTGCATACGACACGATCCTATTAGCTGTTTATTTTCCCATAATGGGAAATCCTAAATGAAAGGCCCGACCAACATTTTCTTTTTTAGTGAAGAATAATTCCATTTACATAATACACATAATAAGACAAGCCATTTGTACACAAGGCTAATCTTTACTTTTACTCAATAAAAAGTTCAGTATCCTCTTTAGAAAATCTCCATATCCATTGCATTAACAAGGACTCCATCATCGTCCCAACTTACATCCTTAGCACCGGTGACTTTTCCGATCAATTGAAGAGGCGCGTCCAAGGGAGGTGGGCTCTGCAAACAGATTAAACATTTTCTTTTTAAAAAAAAAGATAAATTAACTTGCATGGTAAACTCTTCGTTAACTGCCAACTAGTGTTTTTAGGCTATTTACAAGAGTTAAATCCCACTCACAGATTACCATTGGTATTTCGGCAACACCAAGGTAAAGATTTCACTCCTTCAGGCAATTCTAATGGTTCATCCTCAAAAGGGAAATAAAATAAGAAAAATAAAGAGCAAAAGAACGGACCATGCTGCGGATCAAAGGCCAACTAAGTCCGCGGAAAAAAGGATGTTGTTTGATTTCATTCGCACCCATTGTCGATCCTAGACGATTTGCAGGGTCTCTTTTCAGCAATGCATTAATCAACTGTCTCGCTGCAAGACTTACCTGCCAGCAAAGAACGTTAGCTGCTGCATAATCAGTTCAGAAGATATATAAAAAACGCGTTAAGTTAACAGTCAGCTTCTCAGTGGCTAGGAAATTGAAAATATGTGGTCTCAACGTTGACTTTATATAGACCCTTTGTTCCCTCTTTTTGATATGGAATTAAGTTTAGTTAGAATGCTCTAAGGTACCAATTAGAGAGAACGAACAAATGAAACGCCCACTATATGGCTCCTCTGCCCCCACAAAAGAAATAAAATAAAATAAAGTAAAACCTTCGCCGGTACTGCTATAGCCTTAAGAATTACCTGAATGCTGCTTGGAAAAGTGAGATCTTTATGCAAGATGTTCGCAAATGTCTTCTGCCTATTTTTCCCCCTGAAGGGCGTACGACCATAGAGCATCTCGTACAATAGGATGCCTGAATTCCAAATATTATTAGAGTTCATGGTACAAGGGACGGATAGTCTAAAGTCCATGCATTGCATCAAAAGGAAAATTAGGCAGAAAATAGTCACATGATCCAAATGACTTAATGCACACAGCCCCCAGAGACTTGTACATAAGCATGCATATTTTCGCTTATAAGTAGAAGCAGGCTAGGTAAAACTTACCAAGAGCCCACCAGTCAATAGCACTACTGTGTCCTGCGCCTGTAATAATTTCCTGAAATCAAGTAGCTGTAAGAACTTCGACGAGGATATAGGCACATCTTTTTTTTTTTTTTTTTTTTTTTAAGTTACTTGAGTAAGTTTATATCTGACAAGAACTCCAGTTCTGCAAGTATCTTCTATCAAACATGCTAGAGGTACATGTGGTGGAGCACTGGAGCAGCTAGCATGGTTTAAAGCTTCTATATACGGCGTGGGAATTATAACAAGCTTGAATTAAGGGGAGCAAATTCGTAAACAGCAATTGGTATGTGGGTTTTTAGCTGCTTTTATAATTATCTCCTAACTTCCTATACTCGTTTTGCATGTTTTATTCATCATATCTTATTGCAGATAGTGGGTGGCCTAAGAAATTGCATTGCATGCACAAACCATATCCATGTTCCGCTCACGTGTTTTTATCTTTTTTCATTGTTTCTTTCAAACGGCAGACAGAAGAGCAAACAGCTAATAGATTCCCGAATCCATCAAGATATTTTCCCAATATTCCAATACCGTAACATGTTTTTGTTTTTTATACTAATCGATTTGATAAATGAGTATCAGGTACCAGAAGATTAAGTATGATTCAAAATTCACCATACAGGAGCAATGTACTCTTCAGTTCCAACGAAAGAATTTGATTGAGTAACTGGCTCTGCAACAAATATGGGCGGTGGTTGACTCCTAGATCTCCTTCTATTACTAGGCTGTGATTGTTTAATAACCTGCAACACATATCTAGATCTATTAACAAACCAAAACAGCAAGGTTTCCACTTTGAGTATATTTTGTTTATTTTTTATTTTTCTGCAAGAGTAGACTCCAAACATTAGCTCGACACAAGACACTTTTCCCACTCTTGAAAAGAAATTTAAAAATAAATGCTGAGAACTTGTAAGAACTAAGAAGAAATGTTCCACCAATATTAGAACCACATCCCATCATGTGATGGCAATAAATATTCCAGTTCTAATGGATTATGACCGAGGGGAATTTTATATGACTGCCTTACTAAGTAAGAATTTTACATCATGATCCTTCCACACAAGAAAAGTGAGCTCGGCTTCCACCTATGCAAGAAGCCTGGCATCTTTTTGACCCTACCCCTCACTGTTTTAAATTTTAGGGTATGAATAGAATCCCTGGACCATTAACCTAATGTCACTTTGTTGATTTAATGGAGAAAAGAGACTCAAGGACTTCCCAAAGTATCCGCAGGAGCAACATGTGTACCTGGGGTTTACAGGATGTCATAAATGACAAATCAAAATCTGCCAGTACAATGTGCCCATCTTTTTGGAGTAAAATATTCTCGGGTTTCAGGTCCCTGTAAATTATTCCTGTATCAAACAATAATCAGAGTAGAAAAATAAGTAGAGACCTCTAGTGTATGAAGAGTTGCCCTCTTTTCTTTCTTGTGTTTTTTTTTTTTTTTTTTTTTTTTTGAGATTGATATAATCATTCAAATTAGCCAAAGTTTTGCCAAAGACATGATTGATAATTAGACCATGCAAGCAGAATTACCAGGACGCAAACAACACTATATGATTACAGGGAAGGAATCTAGAAGTCTATGTTTAGTTTAGCGTCCAATTTGATATAGTCCCACATTAGATCGCCAATTCATAGTCATATTAGTAGTTCATGCAACAAAATAATAATAATAATAATAATAATAATAATAATAATAACAACAATAATAGCAGCTACGTTTAGTCATCATCACAGGCATTTTACTTGAAACAAACTTAATAAAACAAGGTCTAGTTGGATATTTTTCTTCCGCACACCAGGTTTCCAAAACTGTTTCTCTTCATTTCACTGCTTTATCTCTGCTTTGTCAGGATATGTTGCATAGAGAGTTTTGACATGTGAGAATTATGTCATGGAAGAATAAGAAAACTATCCACATATCATTTAGAATTTTCCACTAATCAAAAGAACTAATAACAACATGGCTAAAGAGAAATATATAAGTTCGAAGGAGCAAGGTACCTAAACAGTGAAGATATTCCAAGCCAATCACCACCTCTGCTGCATAAAACCTGGACATAAATTAAAGTTGAAGATTTGGTGTAAAATATTGTCAACAATACCAGTTTTACAGATTCTAAGATGGATGTGAAAATTCAATACGATTGAAAATGTAAAAGAATTGCACATTCCTTTATCACTTAATCTGTATTTCCCATCAACCAAGATGGTGAGGATAACTGGCAATGATCAGCTTTATTTTGGAACCTAAAAAATTTCTGGCGATAGAAAGGAAAGCGCAACGTGGAAACTTTCAGATATCTAAGCACACAAAATGAGTACCTAGCAGATTCCTCTTTAAGCATTTTCATAGGCTGCTTATCAAGTAAGGCAAATAACTCTCCACCGGGACAAAAGTCTGTTATCAAACAAACGTGTGTAGAAGTCTGAGGAAATAGAGAGTTATTAGTTTACTATAATAGTACAATGAATCAGTAAAACAAGAACCGAAAGAGAACTAGTGAATACAGATTTCCAAATTATAAGAAAAGCATGTCGTTCAGAAAATGAAAAACCTGAAATGAAGTGTATAAAGTGGGAAGAAAAGGATGGTCCAGAAGTGAAATGATTTCTCTTTCAACGCATGCTCGGTGAACCTGTACAATAAACAGAACAAACAACCTTTAAGCAAAATTATACTGTCCTTGCAGTGAATTCTTCCAAACTGAAAAAACACTAAAATCCATTCACAAAACTGCAAACTTCTTTCTGCAACCTATTGAAAAGTACGTCCATAATAGGAAATTTGCAAATTTCTTTTATATATTTAGACCTTGTTACGATTCAGCATTATTGACTTCTCCATTGCCTTCATAGCGTACAGTTCACCTGTACCTTCTAGTTCCACTAGATGAACACTGCAAAAACGCATAAAATTTGATTAAAGCAGACTAATAACTCAACACAAAAATATATATGTTTGATTCTTATAAAAAGAGCAGTTAACTGAAGACATACAGCTTTTAGCAGCACCATTTTAGAAGTGAAATCACCAATTTCTGTTCATGGATACAGAAATTGACGGCAAGCACTAAAAAATGGAGCATACAAGTTGACTGCTTAGCTCAATGCACTTAATATCATCGGCTTCTTATTGAACTTAGTTTGGGTTATTTTTACATTTTGTTCAGACGATATTCCAACAGGATACTTTATGTCTATGCCTGACTAGTGCATAGACCCTTCTCATGGTCTCCATCACGATACTATCCATATAACTTGTCCATGTACACATACAAAATTATCATAATAAATTGTCATCCAATTAACATTGAAAGCTAACTATCAGTTGTAATTGCAAAATTGGGGCCATTTATATGTAATTTTAAAAATTGGGTTGAAGATGGAAAGTTATATCATCAACAGCTGTTTGAGACACCACCTGTCGCTTCACTAACATATGGCAACAAGAGTGAGTATAATACCTGCCGGTATCTCCACAACCCAACGGTTTTACGGGCTTAAAATGATGCAGACCAATCTTTTCACCTTGTGCAGTGATCTAGTATGTCCAAATAGCCAAATAAGTAGAGAGAAAAAGAAAATCATGAAAGGAGACAGCAATAGGTGCAGAAAAGGAAAAAGATGGATATCGGATACATTAGGAACAAATTTTGAAGTTCAAATAGTATCAAGAAGGATAAAAAACTGGCATAGGTCGCAGTAGTTGTTACCTTTTGAATCGCTATCCAAGAAGAACAATCTTTTTTGTGGGGCTTAGGCAATACTGGCTTAGAATGAATAGCCCACAAGTCTTCTGGTTTCTGAAAATGGCACAGTATATAACTTGAGATATTTATGTCCCGTCCTTCAATGTCATAAAGATGAAGCAGAAGATCTTTATGAATCAAATAATTCATGAAACCCCCGAAACTCATGCAGTTCTCAGAATCATTGTTCTTCAAAAAATAAATCATTGCGACAAACAACAACTTCAGAACAACATGTATACGTACATCTATAATTGCCACTCGCTACATTGAGATTTTTGCAATTAGTTGGCAAGAATGGCAGTTTACAACCACATTCTAAACCATGTCATAAAAATATGTTGTTAACCCAAAACATATTAAATACACTGTTTTCTTTGTATAGTTATTATTTGGTCGTTAAAACATGGCAGAGATTTTTTAAACTTTGATATCTGATCACAAGACAACTGAACACTAATAAATGATGCATTACGCTGATGATGCAAAATTGGGTGATGAAACCTCAAGGTACATCACTATCGATCTAAACAGAGACGAGTACCTTACCAAGTTGGCATCAGGAAGTTCTCGGACAGCTTCATCAACATTTTCTGCAGTTGCTTTGACCTGATAGGAGAGAAATAGGTGCTCAAGAATGAGAATACTTGGGAAAAATAAACTTATACGAGAAACCTATTCTACCAAGTACTATTGATAAATTGCAGAACTAGACCTAGATTGTTTTCTGCCAGTGCAATATAGCCCTTAATAACAACATTAAAAAAAATAAAAAAAAAAATAAAAAGAAAAGAAAAGAAGAAGAAAGAAAGAAAGAAAAGAGAAGAAGAAGATTGGTAGAATAGTTCTAGTATACTTCCGAATTCATATTTCTGATGATGAAAATGTATCAATCTATTATGCTATAAGAACCACATAATACGTTACACGAAAATAGAGATGTACATTCTTTCAAAAAAGAAAAAAAAATAGAGATGTACATTTATATCTCTATATAACCATACAAGGGCCTTGTCATTTTTATTGCAAAGCTTTATTACTGATCGATAAGACACTCAAGTATACTTTACTCAGATTTTCAGAACAGTGAGTTTCTACTTCTCAAACTAGAGCAATGAAAGTAAAATTTTCTAATGAAGATCTTATGCTACTTCTCTTCTATTACTATGGAAAAGAAAGTTGGTACCAACCGAAAAAATAAGTCACTCAGACGGTCTAAAAACTAGAACTAAAAATATGTGTACCAGCTTAGCACTTTGCTGCTCTGTTTTCTCTGAAAGGCGATTTCTTAGAGGTTCCACATGATCACTTCCATCCAGTTGCACACCAATAAAGTATTGAAGCTCACCCTACAAAATATACAATGGATTCAGAAGAAAACGTCAAGATGGAATCTGCAGTATTTGTGATCAAAATTATGCAGGCAAAAGGGAAAAAAGTTTGTATAGATGAGAACTTCCAGGTTGAATCTAGGAAAGTCACCTTTTGATCACGCATGGGTTGCAAGTGGAATAAATTCCAGAACTTCTTTCCTTCATGTCGAGAAATCATGATAAGCAACCAAAAAAAAAAGGTGAATTTGAAAATATACAAGATAATTGAAGAAAGAAAAATGGATAAATACGAAATCCCAAAGAAATAGCATCTAATGGAAACTTTGTTCATCCATAAAATGGCTCCAGTGAAATGCAATAATCATTAAACATAGAAAAAAAATATTGAATGGAAAACCAAAATCTATTGCAACGCTGGACCATAGAAATTCAACAGCTTTTACTTACCACTCTTAGTATAGTTGATCAACTGAACGGTAATCTCCCGCTGTTCTCTAATAGCATCTCTTATCTTCTGGACAGTTGCTTGATCTGTTTCAGGTCCTTGAAGAAATCTACGACATGGATTAAAGTCGTATTAAACGGGGGTTGACAATAGTATTATCAGGGAACAAAATCTTGTCCAATTTCTCTTGGTTATTCCAGAAACATTAGACTGAATTACAAAAGACACCAATACTGCAAACTACAAAATCGGAGTGCAATAATCTACTCACCTACAATTTCTTCCCAAAATTTCTTCACGTGTATACTCTGTCAATTCTAAAAAGCTGTCAGATGCAAATATCTGTCCAGAAAAGAGAAATTATGGCCAACCTTAAGACATGCTATGTACCAATTTCTGAGCTGAATACTACAATTGGAATGAATACTTGTATTAGATATGGATTAGAAGGCTGTGTGGAGTGACTGTAATATCAATGTGGTGTGGACCAGAAAGAAAGCTTCTGTAGAAAAGGTGGAAGAATTTTGGGGGTTTAGAACTAAAGAGGTAGCAGATGTGCATACACTGCAAATCAGAGAAAAGGAAGTGGAAACCAATGAGAACACGCTTTAATGTGATGCGTTACAACATGAATTTTATGCATGGCAATGGGAAAACAGTTTCTTACAATCGGGTTATCAGGAAGTCTAGGATCAGTAATGACAAAATTCTTTTCAATGCGCTCCAACGTGGTTGCCAAGTCAAATCCTTGACGGATATCCCTTTCTCTTTCATCATGCTCCCAACTGTCAGTACGTTCAACGTCCTTAGTCATCAAAGTTTCTAAATCAAGAATTGGTTTTTGTTCCTGCTTCGCTGATGTGCTTAGAGACCTTCCTTTAAACCTGAAGGGAATCATTCAGTAAAAACATTCATCCAACGAGCCCCAACACACTCCACACATTTTAGTGATTGAACACAAAACTTAGACATATTACAGTAGCCTATGGATGTAGGAACATTCCATCAAACATTGGAGACAAGAAACTCACCCCATCAAAGAAATACGTCCGGAGTTTCTAAATTTCTTGCCTGCGTCTTGGGTACTCATGCGAGATGCATCACTTTTGAGATCAAATTGGGGAGTTTGTCTACCAGGTGTATTCATACTCATTGTTTCAACAGACTCGGGAAGAACATAATTAAGGTTGAACTTATCTTGTTCTTCATGTTTACCAAGAATGTCATGGCTCTGACTCCGTGCGTGAGATCGTGGATGTTTCACAGTTTGGACAACCTCAGTGATGGAATCTAAAGCCTTCTCCTTCTGACGAGCTTATCCGTGAAATGTAGACGATTAGAACTGAATTACTCACATTAAAATACGACACTTACAAAAATTGCTTACCATCATATCGAATTAGTGACTTGGGCAATCCATTAGGCCGTAACGCCTTGTCATTCACACCTTCTGTATACTTGCTGACCTCAACCTGCATTCTGTGAAGACAGAATGGAAAAAAGATGAAGACGGTATCATAAAACAAAATTCAAACAAAACGTTGCCAAACAATATTAATATAAACGAAAAATATCCACATAACTACCCACAAACAAATATTTCATTTGAACCATATGTTGGTAAAATACCAATTCAAGACAACAACAACTGCGAGGATAAAAACCGTTAAGTCTAAATAATGAATACACATCCCTAATAGAAAACTGCAGTATCCTTATTAATTCCCAAAGTCCTCTTTTTTTTGAAGTTCAGCTTACTCTGTTTCCTTGTAAATGTTTCTCCAGGCTTCTAAAACTCAATTTCTTTTACGAACCATTTGCAGACACTTCAACTAAGAAAAGAAAAAACGCAATTCAAAACACCAGTGATAATCAAAAGACCCAAAAGAGCGCAAAAAGGCACTCACCCAATAAACTTGATGGCGTTTCCGCCATCATCTTTGATCGGAGTGACGGTGAGAAGATTCCAGAAAGGAGTGCCGTCCTTCTTGTAGTTCAAGAGTCTGCCGCAGTAGCTTTGCCCATTTTTCACGGCGTCTCGTATTTTAGCCACTTCCTTCGGGTCCGTTTCAGGTCCCTGAAGAAATCGACTGCAACCAAACACATCCGAGTTACTTTCCTACATTACTTTCGCAAAATCTCACATTCCAACAACGAACATACAATTCCTTTCTCCTTTTCTTCTTTTTTGTGGAGCCAAACATCTGAAACCTTAACTGAGACCAAATCCAAACCTACAAAAACAGAGCCTAATCCCCAAAATTCACGAGCACGAAAAGACAACGCTGCCATTGAAGGACTGAAACTCCGTGGCGATCGGCTAGGGCTTGGGGCTAGATTCAGATACAATGCAAAGCCAGAAACCTGAAGTCCTCCGAACTTCATACCTTGAGCGAACCATTACTCCCTTAATCCGAAACCCTAACTCAAACCGAAAGGAAACCTAACGAAAATGAGGCTAATCCCAAGAAATTATGAGCAGGAACTGTCAAAGCCGCCATTGAAGGATGTAAATTCCATCGCGATCGGCCTAGGGTTAGATTCGGCGACAATGCAATTGCAGAGCCTGAAATCTGAAGTCGTCCAGACTAGGGTGTACACGGATCGGATTACACGGATTACACGGATTAGGGTCAATCCGCAATCCAATTCTTGAGTGTTGCGAGAACAATTACTCTCTGACCGTTATGTGATGATGTCGGTCAGGGCAGTCCCTACCGTTTATAACGGCTACTTTTGGTGTAAGAATTATGAGTCTTATTTTATTATTATTTTTTGTTACGTGCGCTTCAAGCTTCAGAATTACCCCGGTTTTTCTTTGCTTGAGATTTACGCTGTTTTTGCTGAAAAAAAATTTTTAAAACAAATTTTTTGTAAGGAATTTAATTCAATTATTTAAGGAGGCTTTTTTGGAATAATATATAAACAAACTATCATATTTTTAAGGTTAAAAATAAATTTGTTCTCATATTAAAAATAAATAATTTTTTTTAAAAAATACCGCCTCAAATAAAGCTCAAATTATTAAAAATCCTCATAAATAATCAAATTTAGACTTTCCTCAACAAACTACTAGATAGAACATTTAAAAATATATTATATAGAAAATTACATATATTAGAAAAAAAATGAAAACTTGAAAGGAAAATTTTATTTTTGTAATTGTTACGAGATAATTTGCATTATTGATAATATTAAAATAATATTTGTTTCGTTTTAAAAAATATTATTTTGACAGGGTGATGTGGATTTTTTAGTCATAAAATGATTTTTTTTGTTTTAAAAAATATTATTTTGACAGGGTGTGTAGATTTTTTAGTCATAAAATGTCTTTTATACTTTTTTTTATTTTACCGGTTCATAGAAGAAAACATCGAAATATTACTTAGGTATAATAGAACTTTTTATTTTTGAGTGTTTATGTGTTATTTTTTAAGAATTATTAATAGTGGTGAATTTTAATGATAAAAACAATGGCGAGTTTTTGTAATATTTTATCCAATTTCCTTTCTTACTCACACCCACAAGTTACAACTATAGTACTACTATACATGCTTGTCCATATTCGTAACTCAAATCAAAATGCAATAAATTAGTAAATAAAAGCAAAGAAATTGCTTACCAATTCCGGCCGATGACTTCCTTAGAAGAATAACCAGTCATCCCGAAGAACCCGTTGCTGGCATACATTATGGGGCAGTCTGGCTTCGTCGCGTCCGACACCACGAATGTCTGTTGCAGCGTCGCCAAAGCGTCCTTCAGCTCCTGCGAAACCCTCGGGAACGCCCCTTCGTACCCTGACGCCGATTCCTCCGACGTCCTCGTTGACTCCACGCCGGAGAACTTCTCCGACGAGTTCTTTCTTCCGCCGTGACCGGAGGACTTCCCGCCCCCGGTCATTCCTCCGATGGCCTTGAAGCTCCTCTCTCCGACGTCCGACTTCACCACCAGCCCCCACTCCGCCGTCCTCTCCTCGATGATCGCCTTCTCAGTGATTATCCCCCGGGGATCGCCACCGGCATTGTCGGTCCCAGACTTCCCGGAGGATTTTTCTCCCTCGAACGCCATCCACTTGTTGATCGGCTCACTGCCGGTGTTCGCCGAAGCGGAATAGTTCGCCGCCGCGATTTCTAGTGTTTCGGCGGCGTTCTCGCTCTTGGTTCTCTGCTGCTCGCCGTCGTAACTCGCAGGAAGTTTGAAGACTTCGATTGGTTTCCGATTTTTCTGGTTTCCACTGCCAGTCCCCTGTTTCTCCATTTCCGGGTTTTCTAAGCAAACCGCCTGCGAATACACCGTTTACCAACTACATAACCGTATTAATAATTTTTCTCCTTTTCTTCTAAAAATTGGAGACAGAGAAAAATGGATTCCTGGCATATTTGAAAAGTTCAATCTTGAGACAGAAGAAAGATGTTGAAAAAATAAAGTAAAAAATCATTGCATATAATAAGGCTTTTAATGGTCTATCTACACATACGAAGGTTTAAACAGAAAGTATCAAACCAGAAACAAACGGACTAAGTTCTTATACAAAGGGTAGAGTTTAAATCTCCGACCTTAAATTCAAAACAAGTAAATAAATAAAATAGACCTGTAATGAAGGATTAATCGAGAGAGCTAAGGAAGTTTTCGAGGCCTTGACGAGTAATGTCTGTTCCAAGCATTTTGGAGGCAATTACTAGGAAGCCATTGTTATTGCTCATCACAGCTTGACATATACAACAGTTCTAGATAGAGTGAACAAAAGTACAAAACTCATGAAATGATTTCCCAATTATATAAGCTTCTTCTGATTATCAGGAAGGAAAACTGAAGGTTTTCTGCTGTAAAGAGAGGGGGAAACAGTTGAGGATGATAAAGCTCAGGTTTCAATTAAAAACCACACCTCCCACCCAACCACATATAATCCATTAGAAATCTCTGTTTGATCTCGGCCTTTGGCTGCAGATGTTGAGGGGGTACGAACCCTCGCTGGCCGTTGATCTGTTTTCCCTTTATGCGACTCTTTTGTGCATGCATGTCACATCCTGTTTGTCTACAATAATAATTGCCCGTTATAAATGTGTGTGCAGAAATAGACGCCAAATGGGATTTGTGAGGCCAGAAAATCCCATTGGGTATTCGCTGAAGATAAATTTCGCAATCATTCACTGTTGGGTTAGTCTTTCTTTTCTTTTCTTTTCTTTTTTCACACGGTGTAGATAATTGTGTAGAAAGTAAGGGAATGTGGAAATTCCACAGGGACCACGGCGTTTTCGTACGGTCTTGTGGGCTTCCACGTCTTGTAAAAAATACTACAATCCATAGGTCGTGGTTAATGCTTGAAATTTCTAGTCTTTTTATTTTGCTCGTGATTCAGATATGTATCTTTTTCTGCTTGTGGGTTGAACTCTTTACTTTGGTCAAAGGAAAGAAAGGGAAAGGAGGATAATTCTCCCTGTATGACATTGTTATGAAGTAATAAGATTTTGAGTTATTTACCTTATTGGGTTTTAAGGGTATGCACTTATCTCATTTTAACTTTGATATTCAGTTTTAAAGGTATAGCTATTAAAGATCAAAGGGAGAATGACCCATTAAATTAATATGCAGGTTCAATTTTGGGGGTTTTTTTTTTTTTTTTGTTGATTAATATAGGTAAACGTTCCTATATATAATTTTTAAGCTACCATTTAATATGTTTGGAGGTACCTCAAATTATTGTCCTTAAAGGAGTAAATGACCAACAAGAAGGATGTAAATACAGCTTAACGATCAAATCGGCTTAAACATATTTTGGTGTGTTTAGAACTTGTTTTAAAATGATTTTATTTTTTGTATGAAAATGAAAATAAAAATATTTTTAATCTCAGACATAAATCATTTTTAAAAATACGTTTGGTAGTTTTATCAAGAGATTATTTTCAGTATAAAAAACTCATTAATGTCTCTTTCTGCTCGAGAGAGGAGAAAACGAAAATAAAAAATAAAAAATGACTAAAAGTCATTTTTCATTTTTCTCTCATTTTACACTAAACTAAAAAATTATTTTCATTTCTTTTTTTTTCTTTAATTGTGCTAAACGTTATTTTGAAATCATTTTCATTTTTTTCTCAAAAAATATAAAAAAAACAAAAACAAGAATAATTTTAAACACGACAATTGTTTTGCTTTCCTTTTGTAGTGATATTTCGAAGCATACGACCAGTTTCTTTTCAATTAGGAAAAAAAAACTTTCTGTGTTATTATTTTTTAACTATTAAATATGTATCAAAATTTATATATTATATATATTTTTAATTTAATATAATTTTAATCAAATTTAACCTTAAAAAATTGAGACTACCAGATGCAACTCCCAAAAAAAGAAATGTCAAATTCGTTGCGAGTGTTGATGGACGCGTGGCAGCAATAGCAGCCTTACGAGTATGCAACGATCGTGTGGACACGTGTTTGTGTGTCGGTCTCAAAGACTTGTTAGCTTCCAAGGTTTTTGTGGTGCCTGTGATTTGTCTCATCCACCACAGGATGACCAGAAAAGAATCTCGAGGATGAGTAGCTTTCTTCCTCACCAATCTTACCTAAAAGTAAACATTTGAAATGAGGTAGATGTGTTTGGAAGTTTGTAATAATAGGTATAAACCTTTATGGGTCATTCCCCCCCAAAAAAAAATCTCTAATTGTATGGAATTTTCATGTGGGCTACTATACATGAGAAACGGGGTTGTTGTTGGGTAGCTATTTACCCTATTGGCCTGTTCTGAGCCAAATGTTTCATCTTTAGAAATATCCCATGTTAGTGCTATTGAACTTATTAGGTAATACAATAGTACTAGCGAAGGCATGTAATAAATGCTTACAATCGGCTGTCCTTTAGGGAATATGTAATAATGTAAATATCCATACATAATGTTTGGAGGTTGGACGATTACATCAAAAAGGACACTCTCTTTTTACCCTCTTTCACTTTCTAGTTTGACTTTTCTTGCACGTTATTAACTACCATAATTTATTGACTTCGTCAAGAGATTTAAAAAAAAAAAAAGTAAAAACATTTTTTTTTCTTTTTTTCCCCAATCAAGCAAATTGTAAACGAACTCCAATGAGCAAAGCATTTGCTACGGTGAAGGTAGATGGCCTTGTTCAACAAGAGATGCAATGCAATCATCAAACATCTCATTGATGGTCTTGAACTTGAATCCAAGGCTCCTCAGCTTCGAGGTGTTGAACTCGTAGTATGGTCTATTCAGTTGCTCAAACCTGAAAAAACGTGGGTACATTCCCATGTAAGTTTTTTGATCTTGCGAACAATGACACACGACATATGTATTACAAATACACGTCATTACTATGATCCATCCAAGGAGCGTCCTTTCAAAGCAACATATAAAAGTAAAAACTATAATATGACATTCATTCAATGTAATAGTACTGATTTTGTAAGGTTTAACATTAGGATAATTAAATTTTTTATATTATAATTTTCAACATTAGTGTTACTTTAAATGAATATCATGTTACATGTTTTATTTCTATATGTTGTGGGACTCTTGGAGGATCATAGTAAAAGCTTAAAGTAATACATTTTGCTCCTTTATATATATATATATATATCATATTCATTTTTGAGGCAAGCAAATATTATTGGATCTGCAAACCTTTTGGGAGCAGATAAGGAAGGATATCTTGCCGACAAGAAGGAAGCCAAGTCATTATTATCAATCACGGTTGAGCTGCAAAGGTACCGTCCGTGAGCATCCTTGTCCTCATAAACAAGGATATGAGAAGCTGCGACATCATCAATGTGGACATATCCCATCCTTCCATGCAATTGAAATTTCTCTGTTTCCCCTGTTTGTTCATTCAAAACGGCACTTATTTTAACAACTGTGGAAGGAATTTAAACTTAAACCACCAACATTCGTAAGCTGAACATAAAGAAAAGCGTAAATCAGCGTCTTCCAATATTAATACAGATTATATGAGTTTCAGAAGTTGCCTTCAAGCAGGCCAAGGACATCAGATGCCGTAGAGCATAAATCCGGCGGCAAAGAAGGCCCGATCACAAACGCGGGAAGAACGGTAACCAAATCAATCGAATTCTTGTTGCAGAATTCCCATGCTGCTTTCTCAGCTAATGTTTTTGCCAAGGCATACCAAACCTTTTGCATTTAAATAGGTTTACATTAAGAAAGAATGTTAATCAGCTGCATTACTTAATTAAATATTGTTACGTAGCAAAGTCAAAATCACGTGAAACTGTATTTATTTGTTTTTGAAGCAAAAATGTTAGAATATCCGTAAGTGGACCAACAATAATATTATATTCTAACGAGAAATATACCTGGAGTCTCTCACAAAGTTCTACGGAACTCCAAGTTGACTCGTCTAGGGGTATTTTGGGATCAAAATCATCTCTGGCCCTTACAGTTGAAGAAGAGGAAGTAACAACCACGCGCCTCAGCGATGGATTCTTCTTACATGATCGTAGTACGTTCAAAGTACCCTCAATAGCAGGATTTAAGATTTCTGCCTGTCATGCAAAATTACTATTAATTACTATATATCATCACCAGCCACCCACAGTACTACGATCTTATACTTACATGGGCAATTTGGTAAATAAAAAATTTTGACATGCCTTTGGATCAGATGAAGGTTTCAGCACAGGAGAAGCAGTGTGGAAAACACCTTGGCACCCCATTATTGCACCATCAAAACTCCCTTCTTCCATTAAGTTAGCCTTCACCAATTGGAGTCTCTCCCTAGCTCCTTCCAGACTCCATAAATGGGCTAATTTCTTCTCATTTCCTGCAAACACACACATATATACATTTGGGCATATATAAATTTTGTAACCAAAGAACAATACACTTACACATGCTACATATACATTATATACAATATACACATTTTCATATTGTTCCATTTCAAGAGAGAGATGAAAGAGATTCTAGAAGAAAGACCTGGATCTCTAACAGTTCCAATGACATGGTAACCGGACAATAGCAATCTCTTAACAAGCCAAGATGCCAGAAAGCCGGAAGCTCCGGTCACGCAGACTTTGCCTTTTGATTCAACTTTCATATCCATTGCCTTAATTCAGGAATGGGGCTAGTAAGTCATCCAATTCCCATGAGTTTTAAATATGAATTTTTGTATTATTCTTTTTTTTAATCTGCAAATTGAAATTTCACGAGCACAACTACATGTTACTTACCTGCCTTTCACGAGCTGGTGCTGCAAACCGCTCTCTTTATGTAGAATTGAAATATGACGAGGGTTACCAGCATTATGGAAAGTTTGAGTGAAAGCAAACCATGTTTTTTTTATTTTTTATCTTAACGCATATATGCCATAAAAATAGGGTATGTTAAAAATTTTTCCACTCTAATAAGAAGGGTTAGAATTATGTCACACTGGCGGACGAATTAAAAGTCAACATCTTGCCGAAATTATCCGTGTGGACATGTAATCTACTAGATTATTATTGGTAATCCATTAGATGTCACCCAAATCAACATTGATCATCGATCATCACAAGCGACAGGTCACCGATTACCGGAGTAATATAGTATTAGATTATGTCACATTTTCAAGACACGTCACCAGTCGTCTCCGCCGCTCATCGTCGAAGTAATCTACTAGATTAACATAGGCAATCTCATTAGTCGTCTCGCAGAGATCTAAGGCGAGGAGCCCACAACTGCGCAAAAAGATCTTTGTGCACCGCGCAATGGGTTGAGTTGGAGGAGATACCTAGAGTGACGAGGGTATTGGAGATCTTTGCGAGTGACTGATCATAACTTGACGACGGCGGAGAAGATGTCGTGTGACTCGTGCATGCACACCACGCAAGATTCTTCCTCAGGTGCAGCAAGAAAGAGGAGGAAAAAAAAAAAGTGCAACTAGGGTTTGGGTTAGAAAAAATTAATATTTAAAGGATGGTAATATTTTGATAATTAGTTAAAATGGGATTTTTCATATTTGATTTTTAAAATATGTTTTCTCAAAACTTTTTAATATATGTCCTTCTTATCAATAAAAATATTAAATATATCTCCACAAAATCTATTCTTAAATTATTTTTGTTATCTTCTCCTATTAAATCTTATACTTCTAAATATATCTAATTGATTTTTTCTCTACTTAATTCATATCAAAACAGTTTTTTGTTTTTTAAATTGATCATTCTAAAATATCTTTGGATATAATCTAAGTTATATAAAAAAATAACCCATTAAGATATTTTTTCTCAAATGTGTTTCTAATTAAGAATTTTTTTAAACAACTACCTCAAATTACTATTTTCTCACACACACTTTTTCTCTAATTTACCTTTGTTGAAGTAATATGTATATATTCAAATGTGTCATGCATATTTAAAGATCTTTTTTCCCTTCTACATTGACAGCTACTATTTTCACATACATATTATGTGCAGCCGAAATATTTTTTTTTTATCTAATTTACTTACTAAAATCTTTATTACTTAAATATATTAAATAGTCTATACATATATATTGTTCATCTAAAAATATTAGGAGTTGATTTTATTAGCATTTTTCATATTTTTAGTTTATCTGTCACCGGTTTAAATGAGAATGAAAGTTGCTAAATTGAAGCACCTTTCCAAGTGCCACAATTAGGAACACCTAGATGTGGTGACAATCCTCCTAAATTTCTTTTAGAATTACGCCTTTTTTTAATTTACTTTTAAAGGATCAGAAAAAAAAAAAAAAGTTTTAGAAGGAGACAAGAGTGTCATGAATTTAGTATTGCATTTACTAAACTATAAAGAAATTTACAAGGAAAGGTAACATAGGATTGAAAAAAAAAAAAAAACAAAAGAAAAACAAAGTAATAAAAAGAAGATCACTGATTTAATTTCTATTGTTTACTACTCATTTGCTTAATAGTGAAACGGTAAACATTCCAATTACCTATCTATTTGTTGACTAAACTTAAGGAAAGAAATTTTATCAATTGTAATTTGCTATTTTTGATATGCAAATTCAACACCGAAATAGCATCAACATGGACACTGATTCTGTATTTTTCAATCTTACGATTTTCTTATGAATCAAACTTGTTCCAAAAAGAATTATGTTGTGCGAGGATATAATAGAAGTCCTGCGTGAACGAAAAGGAAATTAGAAGCTTTGACAAGAAATTAGTCAGACTAATCTAATGGTACTTTTTCTTTATCGATAGAAGTTGTTATTTTGATTAATGGATTGATTATTTAACGATTTAATTTATCAGTGTCCATGTTAAAATACTCAAATTAATTTGTGAAAGTTAATATTTTATGTTTTTTCGGGTAAGTTATCGTTTTGTGTTTTTTAGACAATGATCATTATGAGTTTATAAATAAGTGTTTTGTATAAAGTTTTATGTGTGTTCACATAAAAGCGTAGAGAAAGAGTG